TTTGCCATCAAGCTATAAAGTGTATGATAAAAAATCACACTCTACATAGAAGATATTGGACTCACAGTGGGCCAGACACAAGGAGATGTTCAGAGTGACTTGCAAAACACACAGCAGCCCAAAGCTGACAGCAACCAGTCTGTAGAGTCTTCTCTTTGCAAGACCTGAGGACCAACACACATTTAACCTGGCTGCACTCCAAATGACACCCTATTTTCTATGTATTGCACTACTTTTTACCAGGGCCCATAGGGCGCCGGTCAAAAGTAATGCACTACATGGGGAATAGGGTGCCATTGGGGACACAGCCCCTGCATCACTGAAAATGGTTGGATTGGAGATACAGACTTCAAAAACTCATAGAGCTGGTTTCCTGGACATGGATTAGGCCTAGTATTTCATCTAAAAAGCACTGGATATTCTGGTTTTTGTCCAGGACTTTTAATCTGTGTTATGGTAACCAGCCCATGGTTTTTAATCTTAATCTATTTCATGACAATGAAAACTATACTGACTTCACAAATACAAGAAAATAACAGAGTACATCAATTTATTGGAGAATATTGCAACCCACAAGGATGTTTGTTCAAGCATTTCTCCTTCCCACCTTAGCAGTTCACAAATACAAATGTGTAGGCTATAATGCAATTTGCTTACTTACCTGATTTTTGGACTGACTCTGGGTTTTTTGCTGTGTTGGTCTTCATATTGACATACTTTGCCGAATCCTCAGAAAGGTTTGTTTCAAACTCAACGATTTCAGAATCCCCTGCACTGACACACTGGCAACTCTTATCTTGGTTTGTGTGTATGTGTTACAGTGTGTTTCTCTACACAGAAATGTACTGCCTTGTGTATGAGAGTTTTAACCCATCTAAAGACAGGAAGCTAGTCATATCAGTCAGGGGGGGGGGGGGGGGGACACTAAGGGGATGTGGGTGGTTTCCGTGCAAAGGGTTAGGATTAGATTGACCATGAGATGAGGCTGAAATGGGTCATATTTTCAGCTTTTATTTAGCATTTGATTGTACGACATACACTAACCAAACAGTGATCATTATTTTGTCCTAGATCTACACACATTGAACATTTTCTTCTTCTGAAGAAAAATCTAACACAAGAGGGCACTGTTCTGCAATAGCAACATCTTTACAAGTCTTCAGGTAAAATTCCACAGACCTTTATTTGACATACAGTCCACGTAAAGGACCACATTATTCACCATTCAGTTATCAACAAACCACACACAGTGCACCTGGGTAAATGCATGTCATTTCACCCAAAAAGTACTGTTTGACTTTATTGTACCTTATGATTTTCAGAACGGGTCAACTCTAAGTTAAGAATATGATGATATTCGCCTTTTGTAACAAAGCCTATTGGCTATTAGTTCACATGAAGTTTATTTAAAAGCAACATGAGAATCATCCCATTCACTGCCTTTAATTGTATAATTTTCCGCCATCCCCACAAAGAAAATATGACATCCATGACTAAAACAGACTTTTACACAAAGCAACCTGCACTCTCTGAAATTGCTTGTCTTTTATTGGTAGAGTACAGTGTACAGTGCAACCTGTGTGGAACTAAAGCCCTGTATTAGGAGCTAAATGTCATGCATATACTTTTTTATTATTGGGTGTTGTGGTGCAATCTGCCCTTTTCCCTTCCCAGAAGCCATTGTTAAAGAGGTGGTTTTAATGCGCTGCACCAGATGGTCTCTCCTACAGGTCGGACTGGGATTGTTTACCATGCACTGGTGTGTGGATAACAGGTGAGCAGCATATCATATCCCCATCAGCCAATCAGGACGCAGCAGATGTCACATCTCTGCCTGTTAACCTTTATTTGGCATATGGGGCTGTTTAGGGGATAATGGAAGGAGAGCGAAGAGAGTTTGATCATGACATTTGTCAAGGTTTATCCCATCGACTATTTATGCCATCAAGACTACATCTTTTTTGATGGATCTGAATATGATTGGATGTTAAAAACTGTTTGTAGGCCTATTGAACAAACAAAAAATGTAATATGCTGGGAGGTTGTCCCTTTAACCATCACAAATTCTGGATCAAGTAAATACAATAGTTATTAGAAATGGGTGACTAACTAGTTATTTCCATAGTTTTAACATATGTTGTACCCCTCCAGTCCAGTCGAGTCCAGTCATTCTCCTTATTCATGTTTCAGAGAACTCTCCATTGGGAACAAGGTAAATAAACATTACTGCAATGTGGTATCATGGCAACCAGGCTGGTAAGGGAGAACAGAGGGAAGTCTCAGAGCTCTGAATTACTGTAGTTGTCTACTAGATTACCTACAGTATGTCTAGCTTGCAGCCAGGGCCGGGCCTGGGCATAAGCGATATAGGCGGTCGCCTAGGGTCCTCGGCCGCTAGGGGGGCCCCAACCAAAAAAAAACATAAACACATGTATATACAGTACCAGTCAAAGGTTTGGACACGCCTACTCATTCAAGGGTTTTTCTTTATTTGTACTATTTTCTACATTGTAGACTAATAGTGAAGACATCAAAACTATGAAATAACACATATGGAATCATGTAGAATCCAAAAAAGTGTTAAACAAATCAAAATATATTTTAGATTTTAGATTCTTCAAAGTAGCCACCCTTTGCCTTGATGACAGCTTTGCACACTCTTGGCATTCTCTCAACCAGCTTATTGAGGTAGTCACCTGGAATGCTTTTCCGACAGTCTTGAAGGAGTTCCCACATATGCTGAGCATTTGTTGGCTGCTCTTCCTTCACTCTGTGGTCCAACTCATCCCAAACCATCTCAATTGGGTTGAGGTCGGGTGATTGTGGAGGCCAGGTCACCTGATGCAGCACCATCACTCTCCTTCTTGGTCAAATAGCCCTTACACAGCCTGAAGGTGTGTTTTGGGTCATTGTCCTGTTGAAAAACAAATGATAGTCCAACTAAGCACAAACCAGATGGGATGGCGTATCGCTGCAGAATGCTGTGGTAGCCATGCTGGTTAAGTGTGCCTTGAATTCTAAATAAATCACAGACAGTGTCACCAGCAAAGCACCCCCACACCATCACACCTCCTCCTCCATGCTTCACGGTGGGAACCACACATGCGAAGATCATCCGTTCACCTACTCTACATCTCACAAAGACATGGCAGTTGGAACCAAAAATCTAAAATTTCATCAAGCCAAAAGACAGATTTCCACTGATCAAATGTCCATTGCTCGTGTTTTTTGGCCCAAGCAAGTCTCTTCTTCTTATTGGTGTCCTTTAGTAGTGGTTTCTTTGCAGCAATTGATGTTGAGATGCATCTGTTACTTGAACTCTGTGAAGCATTTATTTGGGCTGCAATCTGAGGTGCAGTTAATTGCCGATTTCTGAGGCTGGTAACTCGAATGAACTTATCCTCTGCAGCAGAGGTAACTCTGGGTCTTCCTTTCCTGTGGCGGTTCTCATGAGAGACAGTTTCATTATAGCACGCGATGGTTTTTGCGACTGCACTTGAAAGTTCTTGACATTTTCCGGATTTACTGACCTTCATGTCTTAAAGTAATGATGGACTGTCATTTCTCTTTGTTTATTTGAGCTGTTCTTGCCATAATATGGACTTGGTCTTTTACCAAATAGGGCTATCTTCTGTATACCACCCCTACCTTGTCACAACTGTCACAATCGTTGAGAGACGGGTCAGACCAAGGTGCAGAAGTGAAAAGCGTACATGTTTATTAAACTCAATAAACATAAACAAAACAAGAAACAACATAACGTGAAGTCCTCAGGCTATACACATACAAGCCTAACACAGAACATAAACAAGATCCCACAACTAAGGTAGGCAAACAGGCTACTTAAGTATGATCCCCAATCAGATACAACGAGCGACAGCTGCCTCTGATTGGCAATCACACCCAGCCAAACCTAGAAATACAATTCTAGATCCTAAACATAGAAATTCTAACATAGAGTTTCACACCCTGACCAAACTACCTAGAGAATAACAGTCTCTCCAGGTCAGGGCGTGACAGTACTCCCCCCCCCCCCCCCACAGGTGCGTACCAACCTGACTCATAAGGGGAGGGTCCGGGTGGTCATTTCGCCTCGGAGGGGGATCCGGCTCCGGGCGTGACGACCTCTCCCTCTCTGCCTCCACGTTGCGCCCCTGGTCTGGTCTGGTCTGGACCTCGGCGCGATGCTTCCCCTCTCCTTCCTCCCACGATGCACCAAGCCCTGTCTGGACCCTGGTGTGGGAGACCCCGAACCTGGAGAGGGGCTGACGTCTGGGCCTGGATCGGCGATCCCCCCACGATGCACCAGGCCCTGTCTGGACCCTGGTGTGGGAGACCCCCGAACCTGGAGAGGGGCTGACGTCTGGACCTGGATCGGCAATCCTCCCGCGATGCACCAAGCCCTGTCTGGACCCTGGTGTGGGAGACCCCAACCCTGGAGAGGGGCTGACTTCTGGGTCTGGACTGGAGCCGCTGACCGGAGCTGAACTGGACCCTGGTGGAACGGACTGCTCTGGCTCCGGAATGGAACCGCTGACCTGAGCTGGACTAGGCACCGGTGGAGCGGACTGCTCTGGCTCCGGAGTGGATCCTCTGACCGGAGCTGGACTGGGCACCGGTGGAGCGGACTGCTCTGACCCCGGAGTGGAACCGCTGACCGGAGTTGGACTGGGCACCGGTGGAGCGGACTGCTCTGGCTCCAGAGTGGAGCAGCTGACCGTTGCTGGTGGAACAGGCCGGGCCGGACTGGGGACACGCACCACTGGTCTGGTTCGAGGAGCAGGAACGGGCAGTGCCGGACTGGAGACACGCACCACAGGTCTGGTGCGAGGAGCTGGCACGGGCCCTACCGGACTGGATACGCGCACCACTGGTTTGGTGCGGGGAGCAGGTCCCCCTCCGAGGCGTACCGGGCTGGCGACAGGCACCACTGGTTTGGTGCGTGGAGCAGGAACGGGCCATACCGGACTGGATACGCGCACCACTGGCCTGGTGCGGGG